CGCGCCTGTAGTCTCAGGTACTCAGGAGGCTGAGGCAGAAGTATCACTTGAGCACAGAAGGTGGAGCTTGAAGTGAGCCAAGATCACAGCACTGCACTCCAGCTTGGGTGCCAGAGCGAGACTAAAAATATATATATATAGAAATACTGGCCGCGTGTGGTGAGACACGCCTATCATTCTAGCTCTTTGAGAGGCCAAAGTAGAAATCACTTGAACCCAGGGGTTGAGGCTGCTGTAAACATTGAATCCTGCCAGTGTACTCCACACCTAAGCCACAGAGCGACACCTTCTATTTTTTGTTTTTGAGATAAAGTCTCACAGTCACCCAGGCTGGAGTGCAGTGGCACAATCTCGGCTTACTGTAACTTCCACCTCCCATGTTCAAGTGATTCTCCTGCGTCAGCCTCCTGAGTACCTGAGACTATTACAAGCGTGTGCCAGCACACCTGTTAATTTTTGTATTTTTAGTAGAGATGGGGTTTCACCATGTTGGCCTGGCTGGTCTTCAACTCCAGATCCCAAGTGATCCCCCACCCTGACCACCGAAAGTGCTGGGATTACAGGTGCGAGCCATCGCACTCAAACTAACATCCTGACTCTTAAAAAATAAAAAACAGGCCGGGCACGGTGGCTCAAGCCTGTAATCCCAGCACTTTGGGAGGCCGAGGCGGGTGGATCATGAGGTCAAGAGATCGAGACCATCCTGGTCAACATGGTGAAACCTCATCTCTACTAAAAATACAAAAATTAGCTGGGCATGGTGGCGCAAGCCTGTAGTCCCAGCTACTCGGGAGGCTGAGGCAGGAGAATTGCTTGAACCAAGGAGACGGAGGTTGCGGTGAGCCGAGATCGCGCCATTGCACTCCAGCCTGGGTAACAACAGGGAAACTCCGTCTCAAAAAAATAAAATTAAATTTAAAAAAATAAATAAATAAATAAAAAACAAAGTTTGGAGTCAGAGACATGTTGATCCACCAGCGTGGCTTCCAATGCATTACCAAATCAGATACAAAATATCTCCACTTACTTGTCTCCTTTTCCCGAATTTACCAGACATCTGTGCACATTAACCTATGTGTTTCATACGTAGTTTCTCTGGTTCACAAAGAGCTGATATCCAGATGTGGCCAATGAACAATCCAGTCTGCCGATCAGCACTGATTCCGGGGGGCCCAACCGCCATGTCCATCCAGGTCTGGTGTCAGCCCTTCCCATGACCATGCCCAGTGGAGCCTCTTCCCAGGTTCATGTCACTGGGCCACAGAATATGGAATCTCAGAGCAGATGACAGGAACTGAGGGAAGGCATGGCTGAGTGCGAGCCAACATGTCAGGCAGGACGCTTCAGACTCAGAACAGACTGGCTATTACAATGCCTGGCATTTCAGAAAGGAAAGAGGGAGATGAATCCATCTAGGAGTATCACTTTACCTGTGAAAGAGCCATGCCTGGCTCCTTTTCTTTGCTCTTCTGAGCTGCTTCCTCACGTAATGTGAGCCTTTAGAAAACAATCCTGTATGTGAAAAATATAGGAGACTTAAAGTTAGAAACAACCCACTCCATTCCTGTGACAAACACACACAAAGGGGGGAGACCTCACCCTGTAGAAAGATGAGCCTCTGCTGCCCACTGCACCAGAGATCATGCAGAGATAAGACAGTCCCACAGGAACACCTACAAGTGTATTTTGAGCCAGGTCTTCAGATCTCACTCCCCTCCAGGAGAAGGCTCACATACCAGGCAGCAGTGGGGAGCTGGACTGGACTGAGCTCCCCTTCAGGGCACAGACCCAGACCTGACCAAACACCACCTAGAGCACAGCCCCTCCCCTCTCTGTGGATCAAAGGCTCAGCTCAGCCTTCAGAAATGGAGGACACAGAACCTTGAACCTCAGTGCTGCACACAGATTATTATCACCTGGGATACGTGGTATTTGTGTGTCACTTACCTGTGGCCTGGAAGCCCCCTCCCTGCTTCAAGTCTTTTTGCTTTTGCTTCAAGTTTTCCCACCTTTCCAGACCAAACCAATGAACCTCTTCTATGTATTGACTGATGTCTCATGTCTCTCTAAAACGTATAAAATTAAGCTGTGCCACCACCGCATTGGGCACATGTCACCAGGACTTCCTGAGGCTGTGTCACAGGTGTGCCCTAAACCTTGATAGAAGTCTTTTTAAATTGAGATCTGTCTGAGGATTTTTGGGTTCACAGATGCAATGTCAAATGGGGGCTGTGGGAGATCACAAGGTTTTCCACACAGAAGGTGATATCAGAACAAAGACCTAGGGAAGAAAGGCTGCTTGTGACTTAAATCTGAGGGGCCAGAGTCCTAGGGAGAGACAGCTCAAGTGAAGGCCCTGAGACAGCAGCCACCTCAGCCCCAGGAAAAGGAAAGCACCCGAGTGGCTGGAGCAGTGGGAGAGAGGAGGGCACAGGTAGGAGATGGGGTCAGGGAGGTCCTAGGGGCACAGATGCATAGAAACAAGGTTTTCAAACTTTTTTCTTCCACAACCCAGAAGAATTTTGGAAGTCGACTGTTATCACACCTACTTGGGAGCCGGAGGCAGGAGATCGATTCAACCTAGAGGTGGAGATTTCAGTGAGCTCAGAACGTACAACAGCACACCAGCCTGAGAGACAAGAGCAAAAGTCCATTTCAAAACAAAACAAAACAAAATGGCCAGTGGCAGAGTTCAAGTCTGTTATCCAAGCACTTTGGGAAGCCAATTTGGGTGAATCACCTGAGGTCAGGAGTTCTACTAAAACAACCAAATTAGCTTCTGGTGGTATCCACCTGTAATACCAGCTATTTGAGGGATTGAGGCAGGAGACTCATTTGAACCCAGGAGGCAGAGGTTGCAGTGAGCTGACATAGCAGCACTGCAGTCCATCCTGGGCAATAAACAAAACTCATTAAAAAAATAATAATTTAGGTAGTTATGTATCTTCTCACTCCTCTCATGTATACATGTAATTTTCTCTTTATATTATAAATTATTTCCCATATTATAAAACATGCTGTCAAGTTCAGCTAAGTCCCCGGCAGTACAGTCACCCTCATCTGAGATGTGCAGACTGCCAGAGAATGTGTTTCGTGGTTTAGGAATCACTTATGGACACATGAAGGTGGTGACGCCTGTGTGATGTCCCCAAAGAGAGAGGAGGAGACAAGTGGACAGAGGATTGTAGTGCTCAGGGGAGAGGCCTGCAGGGGACATGGAGCTGTATAGGTGGGTGAAAGCCTTGAGATGATAAGGTTCAAGGTGATTTGAGTCTAATCCCCCGTTTTAGTGCTTCTTGTGCCTTTTTTGGTGTTGCTGTTGATTTTTGGAGGACTGGAATCCATTTATAATTTGAGTTAAAACTAAGCACTAGCCAGGCAGAGGGGCTCAGGCATATAATTCCAACACTGTTGAAGGCTGATGTGGGTGAATCACAAGGTCAAGAGGTTGCGGCCATGTCAGCAAACTACTAAAAATAGAAAAAATTAGCCAGGGATTCTGGTGGGTGACTACAATCTCAGCTACTTGGGAGGCTGAGAAAGGAGAATTGTTTGAACCCGGGACTGGAGGTTGTAGTGAGCTGAGATCACACCACTGCACTCCAGCCTGTGTGACAGAGCAAGACTCTGTGCAAAAAAAAAA